ATCTGATAAATTGAAAAACATCAGACTAGACAGTTGTCATAATCACATGAAAACTGGGTAATTGTATAAAATGCTGGCCAAGCAAGACCACTCATTGTGATAACAAGGAAATCATTTCTTTACAATATTAATAAGGAATAAATAAACAAAAGTATCGAAGAGTTTTAGTTTAGGTCAATTTGGTGGAATCTCCGACATATCAGAAATCGTGATGTACTTTAATGCCTAATAGGTATTTATTATAGTTACGTGTATAAGTAAAAAAAAAGAAAAAAGTTATGTGTGCATTTGAGTCAACAGACAAATATTGACCAGGTTTATACTCGAGGCTATAGATAAATATGGGACTGGTGCATATTTGAGTCTATAGGTAAATATTGGCCGGGTTTATACTCGAAACTATAGATAGACAAGAGCCTGGGGCATATTTGAGTTTATAGGTAGATATTGGCCGGTTTTATATGTGATGCTATACACAAATCTGGGCCTGGTTCATATTTTAGTCTATAGGTTTATATTGGATGGGTTTATACACGAGGCTATAGACTGACATGAGTTTGGGGCATATAGGTAGATATTGGCCGGGTTTATACTCGGAAATATAGATAAATATGTGTCTGGTGCACGTATGAGTCTGTAGGTAAATATTGGACGGATTTATACTCGAGGCTATCGATAGATATTAGCCTGTGGCATATTTGAATCTATTAGAAATATTAGCCGGGTTTATACTCGCGGCTATAGAAAAATATGTGCCTGGTGTCTATTTGAGTCTATAGGTAGATATTGGCCGGGTTTATACTCGAGGCTATAGATAAACATTTAGCAGCTTTATAGGTAATGATTAATAGATTTCATATTTAGGTCTACAGGTCAACACTTTTTATAGACAAAATACAGTCAGGTTTATAATTGACTATACAGGTAAACATCGGTCGAGTTTATATATGACTCTGTAAGCACGTATACACGCGTTTATAATTTAAACGTTATTTTTAGTGGATACTCTTTTGAGGCGATAGATAGCTAAACAAAAATAACACTAAAATATAAAATACATTTTAATAGTAAAATGACCAACAATAGATTTTATAGCTAAAAATATACAACTAAAATATAAAATATATTTTTATAACAAAATGACTAACAACAGATTTTATAGCTAAAAATATACAACTAAAATATAAAATATATTTTTATAACAAAATGACTAACAATAGATTTTATAGCTAAAAATATACAACTAAAATATAAAATATATTTTTATAACAAAATGACTAACAATAGATTTTATAGCTAAAAATATACAACTAAAATATAAAAATATTTTTATAACAAAATGACTAACAATAGATTTTATAGCTAAAAATATACAACTAAAATATAAAATATATTTTTAATCCAAATTGACTAACAATAGATTTTATAGCTAAAAATATACAACTAAAATATAAAATATATTTTTATAACAAAATGACCAACAATAGATTTTATAGCTAAAAATATACAACTAAAATATAAAATATATTTTTAATCCAAATTGACTAACAATAGATTTTATAGCTAAAAATATACAACTAAAATATAAAATATATTTTTATAACAAAATGACCAACAATAGATTTTATAGCTAAAAATATAACACTAAAATATAAAATATATTTTTATAGTAAAATGATCAGCAATACATTTTATGATCTATAAAATTTATCTGTAAAAATCATAAGTAGGAAATATTTAGATTTCGTCATAGATGCTACTATGCCACTAAACAAAATCAGCCAACCAAAAAAAACAACACGAACGAACTTTCAGGACATTAATCAATATAATATTCTACAATTTGTTAAAGATTTTAAACTATATTCCAAAATATAACTTCAACAAAACTGCAGCACACAGTACACATCACCGCCTGTAGAAATCTTGTCAATTCTAATATGTCTATGCACAAAAGCTGAGTATCATGTACCATGTATTCAATTGTGAAAACAGAATAACTTACATCATATTTTTATTACTTGAAAGTTCCAATAAAAATTTTATTTCAGCATTAAATGACCCATAAACAAACCATTCAGTCAAAATATTGATTTTGCTGCTCCCTTCGATATAAGAGTAGTCTAAAAAGAAATTAAAAGATAAAAAAAAAATACCCGGATCTCGCCAGGGAGCAGAAGCTAGGGAACAGTTGAAGTAATTCCTGTAGTGATGAATACGTTTGGAAAAAAAAACACCTACATCAAGAAGAGTTGAAAGAGCACTTAAGAAAGAACGACGTTATCGACCACCAGAAATCTGGGAGGATTTTCTGAAAGGTTCTTGAGTTATGAGGGCACCGTGCCTCAAAAACCAAACTTCCGCGGCTCATGGCTTCAGATCATAATTGTTTGGGCGTGTTAACATATACCTTGGTGAATCAAGGTCGGCAACAGCTTTTACATTATCACATGTTACCTGACCATAACCGCTTAATCACCTCCCCACCAATGAGCGGGCACTATTATGCAATATCATTTCCTAAGTGGAAGTTTTGATGGAACATCACGGCCATGTAACGAGAGGATTGAGAGGCGCATCTGGATACTTGGACATAGACTCAGTTAGAACACATAGGAGCGAATTGCTTTACTCGACCTGAAGTTATTCCTATATTGTTAACTACCCGCAAGGTTTATTTTTATTAAAACTTATCCTGATATCATTTGGCTGTGATGCTTTTGCCTGGTATACTCTTATTGGACTGAGTAAGATTATCGGTATATTAGGCTTTATATATTCAGTTTTATATATTAGGCTTTATATATTCGACTTTACATATTAGGTTTTACAGATTAGGCTTTATATATTAGGGTTTATATATTAGGCTTTACAGATTAGCCTTGATATATTAGGGTTTACAGATTAGCCTTTATATATTCGGCTTCATATATTAGGCTTTACATATTAGGCTTTACATATTAGGCTTTATATATTCGGTTTTATATATTAGGCTTTATATATTAGGGTTTATATATTAGGGTTTACAGATTAGCCTTGATATATTAGGGTTTACAGATTAGCCTTTATATATTCGGCTTCATATATTAGGCTTTACATATTAGGCTTTACATATTAGGCTTTATATATTCGTCTTTACATATTAGGCTTTACAGATTAGGCTTTATATATTCGGCTTTACAGATTAGGCTTTATATATTAGGGTTTACAGATTAAGCTTTATATATTCGGCTTCATATATTAGGCTTTCTATATTCGGCTTTACATATTAGGCTTTATATATTCGGCTTTTTATATTATGATTTATATATTAGGCTTTATATATTTGGCTTTACATATTAGGCTTTATATATTTGGCGTCATATATTAGGCTTTATATATTATCCTTTACATATTAGGCTTTACAGGGTAGGCTATATATATAATGGGTTTATATATTAGGCTTTACAGATTAGCCGTGATATATTAGGGTTTACAGATTAGCCTTTATATATTCGGTTTCATATATTAGGCTTTATATATTCGTCTTTACATATTAGACTTTACAGATTAGGCTTTATATATTCGGCTTTATATATTAGGCTTTCTATATTCGGCTTTCTATATTCGGCTTTACATATTAGGCTTTATATATTCGGCTTTATAAAATTATGATTTATATATTAGGCTTTATATATTTGGCTTTACATATTAGGCTTTATATATTTGGCTTCATATATTAGTCTTTATATATTCTACTTTACATATTAAGATTTACAGATTAGGCTTTATATATTAGGCTTTATATATTCGGCTTTATATATAAAGTTTTTTTTTTATATTAGACTTTATCTATTTGGTTTTATATATTAGGCTTTATATATCAGACTTTATATATTAAGCTTTATATATTAGGCTTTATATATTAGGCTTTATATATTTGTACCTCAGCGTTACTTTGTGAAGTACCGCTCTGTCACTTCACAATAATTTGTAACAAGTAGATTCCGACATTAACTTTTTCTGTATTTCAGTTGTTACTTTTGTTATTCCACAAGTGTTATCTCAGAACATTGCCTTTTCAGCGATTCTTTAAAATTTGAAATTTTTGCTTTTTTTTCCCAAAGATTTCAAATTCATTGGCTGAGAATTAAAAAAAAAACGGTCGCATTCGTTTCTTAATTTCTTTCCAGAAGAATACAGCAGAAGAAAACAAAACGATTTTGAAGCAAAAAAAAATCATTGATAGAAAAATATTGTCGAAAGACAATGTTGAATGGCTTCTTGGCTTTCGGCCGTCGAAATCTAATGACAGACAAGAGGTGGAAACGTTTACTTTCTTCCTTTCGTTTCATTTTTTTTTTCTCCCACTTCTTGATGCTGTGTTTTTCATTTCTTTCCCACAAAGATATCAGATCGGAAGGAGCCAGGAGAAATGTCTTATTTTAGACATATTTTGTTAGTAAGTGGCTTGTTTTGCAACGAAGATCTCTTTTTTCTATATGTCCTGATCTTTTATTCATTGTCTACGTAATGTTTTCCGTTTTATTTTAAATAGATTTGGTGAGGGAAAAGAACTGAATGAAGGAAAGAAAAAAGTAGGCTGAGTGAAAGAAAGAAAGAACGAAGTAGATTAAGTGAAGGAAAGAAAGAAAAATGATGTACGTCAAAAGAAAGAAAGAAACAAACAAAGAAACAGAGCGAGTAAAAGGAAGGAAGGAAGGAAGGAAGGAAGGAAGGAAGGAAGGAAGGAAGGAAGGAGTGGATTGATTGAAAGAAAGAAAATAAAGTATGTTAGAAAGATAAAGAATATGTTGATTAAAAGAACAAAGAGTAGATTAATTGAAAGAAGGGGATTGACTGAAAGAAAGAAAAAACAAAGGTAGAAAGAAGTACGTATGAGAAAGAAAGAAAAAAAGGAAAGAAAGAAAGAAAGAAAAAGAAAGAAAGAAAAAAAGAAGTAAGTAGATTACGTTAAAGAAAGAACGAACAAAGTACTTTAAGAGAAAGAAAGAAATAGATTAATTGAAAGAAAGACTGAAAGAATTGTATGATTGAAAAAGAAAGTGAAAGAAATAAAGAAGACGATGATTAAAAGAAAGAAAGAAAGAAAGAAAGAACGAAAGAAAGAAAGAAAGAAAAATGTACGTTAAGGGAAAGAAAGAAAGAAGTGGATTTATTGATTGAAAGAAAGAAAGAAAGAAAGAAAGAAAGAAAGAAAGAAAGAATGAAAGAAAGAAAGAAAGAAAGAAAGAAAGAAAGAAAGTGTTGTGGTACGATACACCTAATTTACATAAGTGGAGTACCGACCATATAAATATGGGTTGGTACCGGGAAGACGGAGAAAAGTAAGAAGAGATCCAATCGAGAGACTCTGCCCGACTGCGTTTTAGTCAACCCATTCTGCAGGAACAGTCTTCCCAAGAATATACCAAAACTAACTGTAAATATTGTGTACCTTTTCCTTGTTTCAATACATTTTGTTTACGTACATTTTGTGTTGTATTATTATTATTCCATGCTTATCCAAGCTTCAACAGAAAGAAAGAAAGAAAGAAATACGTAGGTTAAAAGAAAGAAAGAAAGAAAGAAAGAAAGAAAGATGTGGATTGGTTGAAAAAGAAAGAAAGAAAGATAGAAATAAAGAAAGAAGTGGTTTGATTGAATGTATAAAAAGAAAGAAAGAAAGAAAGAAAGAAAGAAAGAAAGAAAGAAAGAAAGAAAGAAATAGGTTAAGAGAAAAAACAAAAAGATTAATTGAAAAAAGAAAGAAGTAGATGATTGAAAGAAAAAAAGAAAGAAAGAAAGAAAGAAAAAAGAAAGAAAGAAAAAAGAAAGGAAAAAAAGAAATATTTACCTTACTTACATTATTCGGAAGTTATCCACATCTTCATTGCCATAACGTATCGATCCCTTTCCTTACGCTGTATGGATGGTGGGAGTTGAAATTGAGGTACTGTCCGGTGAATGTCTGTTTGCGGTATACGGATGTCTTGAACCCATGCTCTGTTCGAGATATTAGAACATACAGGAATGGGAGTGTGTTGTTACTCTCTTTCTCCATCGTTAACTGTATCGAAGGTCTTATTGAGTTCACAAGATCCAGTAGAACCTGGACATCTTCCTGGTGTGGCCAGAGTATGAAGGTGTCATGTATGTATCTTAACCATAAAGTTGGCTTAGAATTGTAGATTCTAATGCCATTTCCTCAAATTATTCTATGTATATATTCGCCATTGTTGTTGAGCCTATTGCTCAGCCCTCATCCTGTTGATATATGTGTGATCCCATTCCAAAGTGTGTTGCTTGTGTACAGAAAGTCAACATCTCCATCAGATTGTCTATTGGAATACTGGTCCGTTCTCCTAGGGATGAGTCAGGGGCCAATCTGTCTCTGACTACTGAGAGTGCCTCCTCCGTGGGTATCTTGGTGAACAAACTCACCACGTCCAAGCTCACCATCTGGTTGGATAGGAAGGGGTCATCTTTGATTATTTCCACGAAGTGGGCGAAGTTTCGGACATATGAAGGTGAATTTCCGATCAATGGGACAATTATATCGACAAGAAAGCGACTCAGAGTGTTGGACACAGAGCCTTGGCAACTAACAATCGGCCTGAGTGTAATACCGCCTTTGTGAATCTTAGGGAAACCGTATATGTGAGGTAGCATAGTGTAACGCAGCGACAACTGCCTATAATTAGCTGCGATGTGATCCTTGTTCTTGATTAACATCTGGGAAAGTTTGCGTTCCGTCTTCATTGTAAGATCCTTTTTTTACAAGAGAAAGACAACAACACTCAGAAAACAGTATCTGTCTATATTTCTGAGATGAGGTATTATGTACATTATTTACATTATTCGGACTATTGTCCTCATCTTTGTCGCCATATTTATTACAACGTTTCGGCCTTTCAGTATCTGTCTATATTTCTGAGATGAGTATTATACATTATTTACATTATTCGGACTATTGTCCTTCGTTGTCGCCATATTTATTACAACGTTTCGGCCTTTCATTATCTGTCTATATTTCTGAGATGATTTACATTATTTATTCTTTAGACTATTGTCCTCATCGTTGTCGCCATATTTATTACAACGTTTCGGCCTTTCATTATCTGTCTATATTTCTGAGATGAGGTATTATGTACATTATTTACATTCTTTAGACTATTGTCCTCATCTATGTCGCCATATTTATTACAACGTTTCGGCCTTTCAGTATCTGTCTATATTTCTGAGATGAGGTATTATGTACATTATTTACATTATTCGGACTATTGTCCTCATCGTTGTCGCCATATTTATTACAACGTTTCGGCCTTTCATTATCTGTCTATATTTCTGAGATGAGGTATTATGTACATTATTTACATTCTTTAGACTATTGTCCTCATCTATGTCGCCATATTTATTACAACGTTTCGGCCTTTCATTATCTGTCTATATTTCTGAGATGAGGTATTATGTACATTATTTACATTATTCAGACTATTGTCCTCATCTATGTCGCCATATTTATTACAACGTTTCGGCCTTTCATTATCTGTCTATGTCTATTATTTACATTATTCAGACTATTGTCCTCATCTATGTCGCCATATTTATTACAACGTTTCGGCCTTTCATTATCTGTCTATATTTCTGAGATGAGGTATTATGTACATTATTTACATTATTCAGACTATTGTCCTCATCCATGTCGCCATATTTATTACAACGTTTCGGCCTTTCATTATCTGTCTATATTTCTGAGATGAGGTATTATGTACATTATTTACATTATTCAGACTATTGTCCTCATCTATGTCGCCATATTTATTACAACGTTTCGGCCTTTCAGTATCTGTCTATATTTCTGAGATGAGGTATTATGTACATTATTTACATTATTCAGACTATTGTCCTCATCTATGTCGCCATATTTATTACAACGTTTCGGCCTTTCATTATCTGTCTATATTTCTGAGATGAGGTATTATGTACATTATTTACATTATTCAGACTATTGTCCTCATCTATGTCGCCATATTTATTACAACGTTTCGGCCTTTCATTATCTGTCTATATTTCTGAGATGAGGTATTATGTACATTATTTACATTATTCAGACTATTGTCCTCATCTATGTCGCCATATTTATTACAACGTTTCGGCCTTTCATTATCTGTCTATATTTCTGAGATGAGGTATTATGTACATTATTTACATTATTCAGACTATTGTCCTCATCTATGTCGCCATATTTATTACAACGTTTTGGCCTTTCATTATCTGTCTATATTTCTGAGATGAGGTATTATGTACATTATTTACATTATTCAGACTATTGTCCTCATCTATGTCGCCATATTTATTACAACGTTTCGGCCTTTCATTATCTGTCTATATTTCTGAGATGAGGTATTATGTACATTATTTACATTATTCAGACTATTGTCCTCATCTATGTCGCCATATTTATTACAACGTTTCGGCCTTTCATTATCTGTCTATATTTCTGAGATGAGGTATTATGTACATTATTTACATTATTCAGACTATTGTCCTCATCTATGTCGCCATATTTATTACAACGTTTCGGCCTTTCATTATCTGTCTATATTTCTGAGATGAGGTATTATGTACATTATTTACATTATTCAGACTATTGTCCTCATCTATGTCGCCATATTTATTACAACGTTTCGGCCTTTCATTATCTGTCTATATTTCTGAGATGAGGTATTATGTACATTATTTACATTATTCCGACTATTGTCCTCATCTTTGTCGCCATATTTATTACAACGTTTCGGCCTTTCAGTATCTGTCTATATTTCTGAGATGAGGTATTATGTACACTAGTTAAATTATTCGTACTATTGTCCTCATCTTTGTTGCCATATTTATCACAAAGTTTCGGCCTTTCAGTATCTGTCTATATTTCTGAGATGAGGTATTATGTACATTATTTACATTCTTCAGACTATTGTCCTCATCTATGTCGCCATATTTATTACAACGTTTCGGCCTTTCATTATCTGTCTATATTTCTGAGATGAGGTATTATTTACACTATTTACATTATTCGGACTATTGTCCTCATTTTTGTTGCCATATTTATTACAACGTTTCGGCCATTGTACGCTTCGGCCTTCTTCAGTTGTTTAGTATGTCGATCTGAACCTTTTATTTTGCTTACTGGTGTATACTGGACCCAAAAAGTGTGAGTTCAATACCCGGTTAAGTCAGTGGAGAACTTGCAGAGGGGAATTAGCAGGCGATAACTGATAACTGACATCCATCAGACATGGCACGTGGAATTGAACTGTCTACCCCAGTGAGCGAAATAAAGGTTTAGTTCGACATTCCAACCACCTGAAGAAGTTGTAATAAATATGGCGACAGAGAGGAGGACAATAGTCGGAATAATGTAAGTAGTGTACTCATAAAACAGTCTGCCTGCATTAAGTGAATGGGTTATCGGAGAAAATAAAAAGCATCTGCGGGCGATATAATAACAGAACAACCTTCAAAAGCCGGACGAAATATCGCAGAAATCGGAAAAAAAAACAAATGCAAAAAAAAAAAAAAAAAAGAAACTGGAAGAAAAAAAAAGAAAAAAAAAGAAACCCGGGCAAAATGAACGCGAAAAAAAGAAAACCGTAAAAAAGAAATACGAAAAAAAGAGACCTGTAAAAAAGGAAACACGAAAAAAAGGAAACGCGTAAAAAAGAAACCAGAAAAAAGAAATACGAAAAAAAGAAACCTATAAAAAGGGAAACACGAAAAAAAGAAACAAAAAAAGAAACCCCAAAAAAAAGAAACCAGAAAGAAACGAAAACTAAAAAAAGAAACCTGCAAAAAAGGAAACACGAAAAAAAGGAAACGCGTAAAAAAAAACCAGAAAAAAAGAAATACGAAAAAAAGAAACCTATTAAAAAGGAAACACGAAAAAAAGAAACAAAAAAAGAAATCCGAAAAAAGGAAAGCAGAAAAAACGAAACCAAAAAATAGAAACACAAAAAAAGAAACCAATAAGAGAGAAACCCTAGAAACAGAAACCAGAAATAAAGAAATACGAAAAAAGAACCCTGAAAAAAAAGAAAACCGAAGAAAAGAAACACGAGAAAAAAAAACTCGAAAAAAAGGCACCCGAAATAAAGAAATCCCAAAAAAGAAACTCCCCATAAAAAGGAAATGCAAAAAAAAATGAAAAAAAAAACGAAACAAAAAAACCCCAAAATAGAACCCCCCTCAAAAGAAACCTCCAACCCCCCCCCCAAAACAATAAAAAACAAAATGGAAACCAGAAAAAAAGGAAGCCCCAAAAAAAGAAACCCCCAAAAAAGAAACCCAAAAAAAGAAATGCAAAAATAGGAACAAAAAAACAAAAAAAAATGCACCAGAAAAATTGAAACCCATAAAAAAAGAAATGAAAAATAATCAAAAAACCTCTAAAAAAAGAAACCAGAAAAAAAGAAACCCATATAAAAAAAACAAGTAAAAGAAATCAAAAAGAAAGAAAGAAAAAAAAACAAATAAGAAACCTGAAAAAAAGAAACTCCAAAAAAAGAATCCCCCAAAAAATAAACCCAAAAAAGAAATGCAAAAAAAAGAAACAAAAAGAAATCTGAAAAAAAAGAATCCAGAAAAAAAGACTCCCGAAAAAAATAAACCTAAGCAGAAGGAAATACAAAAAAGCAACAAAAAAACAAAAATAGTAACCAGAAAAAAGAAACCCCCAAAAAAGAAACCAAGAAAAACGAAATGCAAAAAACAAAAACAAAAAAGAAACCAGAAAAAAAGAAGCCCGAAAAAAGAATACCAAGAAAAAGAAACCAAAAAAGAGATGAAAAAAAAGGAAGTAAAAGAAAACCAAAAAAAGTCTCCCGAAAAAAGAAACACGAAAAAAAAAAAAAAAAGGAAATGCAAAAAAAGAAACAAAAAAGAAACCAGGAAAAAAGAAACAAAAAAGAAACACGAAAAAAAGAAACCCCCTTCAAAAAAGAAATGAAAAAATAGAAACAAAAAAAAACCCCAAAAAATCAGAAAAAAGCAACCTAAGAAAAGAAACCCGAATAAAAGAAACCCAAAAAGAAAAAATGAAGAAACGAAACAAAAAAACAAAAAAAAGAAACCAGAAAAAAAGAAACCCGAAAAAAAAGAAACCCAAGAAAAAGAAATAAAAAGAGATGCAAAAAAGAACAAAAAAAAGAAAAAAAGATTCCCGAAAAAAGAAACCCGAAAAAAAGAACAAGAAATGCAAAAAACAAAAACAAAAAAGAAACAAAAAAAAGAAACCAGAAAAAAGAAACCAAAATAAAAGTAACCCTAAAAAAGTAACCCCCCACCAAAAAAGACAAAAAGAAATCAGAAAAAAAGCAACCTAAAAAAAGAAACCTAAAGCAAATAAAAACCCAAAATAAGAGACAAGAAAAAAAAGAAACCCGAAAAAAAAGAAATGAAAAAAAAGAAATAAAAAAATTTGGTTTTTTTTTTCATAGAAAAATAGATGGTCATGGAAAAATTGTGATAGATATATGCATAGATAGATAGATAGATAGATGGGAATATAAATATACTGGGAAAGATAGATGGACATGAAAAAATCGTGGTAGATATATGCATAGGTTGATTGATAGATAGGCAGATCTTTAATATATAGATATATCTATCTATCTATCTATCTCAGTCTTTTCATATCTAGCTATCTATCACAGTCTGTTCATTATCTATATATATATATATATATATATATATATATATATATATATATATATATATCTCCGTCTGCTCATTATTATCTATCTATCTATCTATCTATCTATCTATTATCCCAGCTCATCCACTTCATTATTATCTATCTATCTATCTATCTATCTATCTATCTATCTATCTATCTATCTATCTATCTCAGTCTTTTCATATCTAGCTATCTATCACAGTCTGTTCATTATCTATCTATCTATCTATATATATATATATATATCTCCGTCTGTTCATTATCTATCTATCTATCTATCTATCTATTATCCCAGCTCATCCACTTCATTATCTATCTATCTATCTATCTATCTATCTATCTATCTATCTATCTATCTATCATCCCAGCTCATCCTCTTCATTATCTATTTATCTATCTATCTATCTATTTACGTTCATTTTGTTCATTATCTATCTATCCATCTACGAGGTTGAGTTATAAGTTTTTTCGGATTTTCACTAATGATTTTTGGCAAATTTACCCCCACGTTATATCATTAATGTGATACAATTTATTGTCCAATCGTTGCTGAACTGATTATTATTTATTTCCGTATGTAGCATATAGATATTAATTATCTATATCTATAAAACAGAAAATGTCTGTCATTGTGTTTGTCTGTCTGTGTGTATGTAAGCTATTAATGCACTCCCACATTTCTCGACCGATTTCGATTAAATTTTACACACATATTGCAAAGATACGTTAAGACCAAAGTTTCAATCTCCAGGTTCCTGTGTTTGGCAGAAATATTGATAAAATTGAAGTT